TATATATATATATATATATATATATATATATATATACAATATAATTATATATATATACATATATATATACGTGCGTGTGTGTACGTGTGTGCGTGTGTGTGTGTACGTTTTGTGTGTGTACGTGTGGGGGGGGGGGACTTGTGCATGCGTGTGTGCGCGCCCGTGTTTGTGTGAGTGTACGATTATGCAATTGTTTACAAGCACATCCTCTAAGAGAAAACGCACATTTTTTTATTTAAAATAATAATAGTGACCACCGTAATGAACAAATATCAACAACAACAACAACAACAACAACAAGCAAACAAACAACAGATAAATTCGCGCTTGTCTGCGGTCCCCATGTTCCCAGCAGAAAGCTGTTACACACCTGTTTTCCCAATGACCGGAAAGGCGCATAAACAAGTGTCGAGCTACGGTAGTTCACAGAGCGCCGACCGCCGGTCATATGCGCCCTGCCATTAATAACCGCACCGTCACTACTGCTGAGGGACTGCCTACTGCGAGTATTTTAGCGCTCGTTGTCGTCGGCATGGCTGATATATACTGCGGCCGTGTAAACCGCATCGACCTGTTCCGTGCGCGGTTGTTTCTTCGCTGTATGTCATTCCCTATTGCTCGCCTAGGTGACGTCTTGCGCGTGCATGGGTGTGCGTGCGTGTGTGTGCGTGCATGCGTGTAAGTGCGTGTACATGTGCACTTACGTTGACGTGAGTGCGGGGGGTGGGGAGGGGATAGAAGAGAAGAGTTCGTATACATGTGTCAAATAAAATTCACATGTACGTCGACGTGAATCATTATTATAAACATTATTATAAACATTATTATAAACATTATTATAAATAAACACAAAATCCATCTCATTTTTACGCGCCAAAAACACCCCTCGCGCGGTTATCCTTTCATTTTTGTCGAAGTTCTCTCACGCGACACCAGGTGTGGAATTGTGCATCCGATCGTTTGGCTTCGATCACGTGACATCTTGAGTCGCTACGTCAGCATTTACCATACGGGTGACGGTGTCGTATACAAAGAACAAGCTCTAGCTTACATATGGCGGACTGTGACAACGTATAGTCACCGACGATGGCCAGCAAACAACCCAGCAATACGAATTCTGCTACAGGTGTAAGTATATAGCTGTAGAAATGTCGACAGCCTTCCGAATGTTCTGTTACTGCGCACGGTGTCTACGAAACTTTCTTTTTTATTTCTTTAAGTAGGACTTATGTAGAGAGCTTGCGTAGAGAGATACTGGATACTGTTGTTTCAGCGACAATGGATACTTCCCGCGCCATGTGGTGCGTTTCATGTGCAATTGTGCTAGCGCAGGAAAGCACCAATACGATGCTCTCACCAGCCACGTAGAGACATAATTATCATGATATTATACCATATAAATTGTATAAAATATATATAATACATCACATAGATCGCACATCTTCATAGCTGATGTTTTGAGAAGCTTCCGCGCGATATGCGTTTTAATCGTTGGCTATTGCAATGTGATCGTTAACTGATATACGTGCTCAGCGCTGATGCACATCGAGGTATCTCATCATCAGTGAAAGAGGTGGTAGATACAGAGAGAGAGAGAGAGAGCGAGAGAGAGAGAGAGAGCGAGCGAGAGAGTGAGAGAAAGAGAGAGAGAGAGAGAGAGAGAGAGAGACAGAGAAGGAGAAGGAGCTAGGGGGAGAAGGAGAAAGCAAATAGCAGTCGAGCCATTAACATTTCACATCGATCAAATGTCTTCGCCGGTTCCCACGCGCCGGCGTGTTATTCTCGACGTACGCGAGATCTCATGATCGTCATAAAGCGAACGAGGCGGCGACGTGTATTATACGGCCGTTATTCGGCTCGTATTATCGACGTTCTGCTTGCAATGCCGACCCGATTCTCGTCTTCCACTTAAAACTCGCTTTACGAGCGAGAGACTAAGCGCCGATCTGCCTTTCCCGGCTAGCTTTACGGTTACAGATGATATCTAACGCGACTGACGCACATATATTATTAACTTTACGAGCCATAAGCCCGGTTGTCTGACCGCATGAAAATATTCAATGCTAAATGCATAAACGCGTTGAATAACAAATAATATAATAAAATAAATTTACATTCACGTCGACACCATGCCGCGTATAGACTGAATAAAAGCCGGCACGCCGTTACTCTTGCTTATTATCTGCAAAACGTGAATCCCGCATTCGGTTAATGCGTTTATTGTCGGCCATTATACAGATTTGTACAGATATTCCGCACCTGGGCCATTGTTTCTTACTCGCGGATAGATTAGATAACGCGTAGAGGCTCAGAATTCAGGCGGCCATGAATAAAACATGGCGGGTTGCTCGGCTGGGCATATCCGGAATCTCATCTCTTTTACAACACGTACAGGCGAGCGCGAAGAGCCATGGGACCACGCAGGGCCAGAGCGGAAATACCAACCACAGCAGGTATTATATATGTTATGTTATGCATGCGCACTAGTTAAACGTACTGCGTCGCGTCTATTAGCCAACCGAATGATGATTGGCAGTCGACGTAAATAATGATTTGCGAAGTTCGTGGTTTCACGCGTTTTTCGTGTTTTATTTAGGAATTTTACTTTTAGCCGTAGAAGATATAAATAAAGTTTTGTCTTGTGGACGCGAAACCCGATCATCCTATATGGGTTTGGTCAGCTGTATCCGGCAACCCGCTGATGTTGCTGCTGTTGCTGCTGCTGCTGCTACTACTACTGCTGCTACTGCTGCTGCTGCTGCTACTGCTGCTGCTGCTGCTACTACTACTGCTGCTACTGCTGCTGCTGCTGCTACTGCTGCTACTGGTGTTGTTGTTGTTGTTGTTGTTGTTGCTACTGCTGCCGCTGCTGCTGCTGCCGCTGCTGCTGCTGATGGTGGTGGTTGTGGTGGTGCTGGAGGTGGTGGTGTTGCTGATGCTGCTGCTGCTGCTGCTGCTGCTGCTGCTGCCGCTGCTGCCGCTGCTGCTGCTGATGGTGGTGGTTGTGGTGGTGCTGGAGGTGGTGGTGTTGCTGTTGTTGTTGCTGCTGCTGTTGCTGCTTCTGTTGCGGGTGTGGTTGTTGTTGTTGCTGCTAATGATGATGGTGGTGGTGGTGCTGCTGCTGCTGCTTTTGTTGCTGCTACTGTTGTTGCTACTGCTGTTACTGCTACTGCTATTGCCATTACTTCTGCTGCTGATGCTGCTGATGCTGCCGATGCGGCTGATGCTGCTGATGCTGATGCTGATGCTGATGCTGATGCTGATGCTGATGCTGATGCTGATGATGATGCTAATGATGATGCTAATGCTGATGCTGATGCTGATGATTCTGCTGATGCTGATGCTGATGCTGATGATGCTGCTCGATTGCAACGTCTTCTTGAAAGATATTTAAAAAAGATTCATACTCCCGTCATATACTCGTGGCATCCGTGTACACTGCCCCGCCTACATCGGGGACTTAACTAATATCGATAAATTGTTCAATTTTTTGCCGTCTTGCTTTGGCCGGCGCTGCGTGTGCACTCCACTGCCATCTGTAGGCCTGCGGACGATTCGTATTGGGAAGACCGCAAGTGGGATGTCTTCAACGACGTCTCCTACAGTCCGGACGACATGTCTACTGGCGCCACCTACAACCAAAAGGCGCTTCGCTTCATCAAGCTGATGCTCTACGTCGTCACGTGCCTGCTGGTGTTCGTCTGCGCATGCGTGTCGAAGATCTCCTTCTTCCTCATCGTGTCGCAAATCTTCATCGAGTGGCCGACGGCGGCCGACGCTGGCGCCAACGGTGCGCGCAGCTCGCCGACGTGGTTTCTGTCGCTGTGGATAGTCGTGAGCGTGCCGCACGCTCTCAGCCTCTACCGCTGCTGCAAGGTGATGATGTTCCGTAACACGCCGTGGCCTTCCGTCGGCCTCTTCCTCCTGGTGAGTGAAGCAAGACTGCATTCTAGACAATAGTTGCACGCGATTATCCCCACGTGCGATCGCTCTCACTCGTGCTGCGTTTATACCGCACAACTTTTGTGCTGGATTTAAAAAAACATTCGGTTTATGTGCTCGACACTATGGGGAAATATCGTGAAGATTTAGCGTTTCGTTCGGCGGTGGTGCGAGCGTAGCACCATCTATGAACGAGATAAATAATTAGCAGTACGATAATTATCTTGATATGTGTCAATGGGCGTTATGACGGATATAAACATATATATACATATCTTTTATATATATATAATTATCTGCGTTTACGTGCATTACATGCTAGTTTATCTCGCTCATAGATTGTGCTACGCTCGCACAAACGCCGAACGAAACGCTATGTATTCACTTTTTACAAATATTACTCCTATAATTACTGATGCTGCATTTCTCTAGGACGGATTAATTTGCATATTAAACATGAGAGATCATTCACCATTTTGGCAGCAAGAATGTCAAGCAGGAATATAACAATATTAGATGTGTTTGACAAGGTTCTCGAGGTTGTCATATTACACATCTGTCAGGCAGATCTGTAACATAATAGATATGTTCGACAAGGGAAAAGTGGTCACATTAAAGATGTGTCAGACAAAGCTGTTACAATATAGATAAGGCTAGAGCTGTCACATTACAGGTGTGTCAATCAGACCTGTCGCATTATAGGTGTGTTTGAAACTGCTGAAGTTGTCACATTGCCAGTGTCGCAGATAGCGTTAAAATTACCATATTAAACGTCTGTTAGTAGACATGACGTCAAATCGCATACGCGTTAGACAGAATTGTCACATTACAGGTGTGCTCCACAAGGTTTTCAAATTACAGGTGTGGTGTTCTGAGTTATCAACATATGGGTACATTAGACAGCGTTGTCAAATTGCATGTGCGTTGTACAGAGTTGTCGCACGACAAGTGTTTCGAGCAGATTTTCGTGTCACGTTACAGCTGTGCAAGGTAGATCTATGACATTGCAGGTGGTCAGCGTGGAGACCTTGCACACCCTCGGTGTTTACACGTTCGCCTTGCGCGTGCTGCCGCGCATTGACGCTGTCTACGGTGCCATGGTAACGAGCGGCATCTGCTTCATACCAGGGGTTATGCGTCTGCTTAATCATGGCCGCCGGGAGCGCTGGGGTGTCGCGCAAATTCTGCTCGATGTGCTTGCCATTGCCTTGCAGGTGAGCGAGCCGAAAGATATGTATCTCCCCTGTTTCCTCGCCCCTTCCCTCTCCCTGTAGTCGAATGTCACATGTAGGGACTGCCATAAGACAAAACAATTAGTTTATTGCTAACACAAATGTCTTTGATGTCACCACTGCTAGCTAAAATACTGGATGTGGGGCTGATAGAGCCCGCTAACGCTTCCTATCTCGCAATACGGTGAAAAATATTTTCAGTTCGAAATATGACTGATATTTGAAAGAATTCAATTTCGTTCATAGCATCAGTCGTCTATTGCTTAAAACACTTTACCATAGGAATATAATTATGCCGTACGCATTCAGCGCTTATCTAGCATTCATGCATTATAATATATCAGCCTGTCTTAGGTTTGGCCATCACTTTGAAGTTTCCTTATTTTGTGTGAAAATGTGTTGACCACACTCGAACGTCAGAAACACAACTGGGGTCGATAAATAATACTAGCTATATTAGTGGTAGTTTAGCACATACGTATATGAATATAGATGACAAATCTGTGCCGTCTGAATGAAACATTTCAGATATAGTGATTTATTGATTTATTTATTGATTTATTTATTTATAATTTTCCTGGCGGTGTTTGACGCTTGTCTTGCAGGGTACGGTTTTCGCGTGGCTCTTTCTCACCCTCGATGCGCTCAATGCGGGCATCGCCACGGCATCTCTCATCTGCATCTCGCTCAGCTACTGGGAGACGTTTGTCAGCGAAGCCTCCGCCATCCCGATCCTCTCCCAGCTGGGGAAAACCCGCAATGAGATGCGAGGCACGGTTTTTTTTATACTTTTAAACATGGATTGAGATCCAGACGGACGCGTAGTGTGTGTGCAGATGAAGCGCGTTTGTATCCGTCCCGTGCACGCACTGAAATGCTAAGAAAATCTTTTCGGTGTGCTGCGGCATATGAGTGGAATAATTTACCTCCTGACGTTCGATATGCCCCACTATTAAATTTTCTTCTTTTAAAGTCCGTCTAAAGATAAGCTTGCCCTATCAATAGGGCCCATTGTGCTCAACTTACCCCGTACAATTTTACTCTTAAGTACTTCAACTCTTATTGTGTATTTATATAATATTTAACTGTTCTATTGCTGTGGGACGGCCATGTGGAAGATAGGTCCGCGCCATTTTATTGTGTCTGCATGTACCTAACATGTTTTACCGTCGTTAAATAAAGTTTTTACTTACTTACTAGGCGCGCGCCACAAGACTTACTTCCTCGTCAACGTCTGGAAGATCGTCGCCGGCCTCGGCATTACGGCCTTCTTCGCCGGGGTGGCCGGAGCACCAGGTGGCGCTAAAAGCATCTTCGGCGACATTCCGGCGGTAGTCGTGTACACAACCATCGTTCAGGGCGCCGCGTCGTTGCTCGGTTACGCGACGGTGCGACTCGTCTGCAAGATTAAGATTCAGTTGTTCAGCTTCTCGCTGCCCATCGTGCTGTCGACGCTGGCGACGGTTGTTCTGCTGTGCGTGCGCTGCTTCTTCAGAGATCCCATCGTCTCTCTTCTACCGGCGACCGAAGAGTTTTACTGGAACTGCCCGGATAAGGTAGGAGCGCCATCTGGTGTTACTCTGCCCCGTGCCTCTTGATCGGTTAGCGATAAGTTCTACATCGTGGGGGGGAGGGGCTATCACGTTATCTATATGCATAGAGAAATCTATAATTTTCGTCACAGTTGTAATTCTATCTTGAAGTCCAACATACATCCAAATGCGTTTGAATGACGACCAATACAAAGCATGAATCACGTTTGTTTCATCGCGCAACGGCGCCATAGAAAATTTCTTGATCGTTGTCGCGCTCGCATCGACATTTGAGCTTTTACTATCACAGCTTTTCTTTAATGCTGAGTGTTACTTGCCACGGAGGGAGGGAACATTTTCATGTTAATTGTGGAACGTCTGTTTCGGCAATGTTGTATATATATATATAATCTTCAATCGTTTATCAGCTTCTGTTTTAGCTGGTCCAACTTTTATTATTGTGTAGTTTTAATCGTAAATATTCAACACGCCTTGATCTTAACTCCATAAAAACATTAGACACTAATTTGTAACCCTATGTACAAGTCTTCGAGTTTCGTCTTAAGGTTTATGATGCTATAATATCGCGAACGCACTAGTATTATTATATGTTATTAATATTCTTGCTATTTTTATTAACATTGAAGGAAGGATCGAAGAACGTTACCTACATCATGGAATACTACGGCTGGATGTGGTTTTTCTGGGTAGCTTCGCAATTCTGGATCACATCGCACATATGGACGCCATGTATCGAACGTCTGGCAAAGTCGAACAAGCAAGTACAACATAATAAAAGTTATAACGCTGCGAAGCTGATAATATTTGTAATCATTTCCTTTCGTTACGAAGAAAGTGGTAGAGTCCCTCTGTATAACGGGACTCGGGAGCGTCTGGTGTTAGATACCCATTGAAAACTCATCATTATATGAATCTATTTATTAATTCATTTATTTTTATTTTTATTTTATTTTTTTTATATTTTTTTTTTATACATTGTATATTCTTCAGGATCTTTGTGAGACCATTTTACTGCAGTCTCCTCTTTGATGTTGGCATGCAGCTAAACAGGGCGCGAGACGAGAGGAAGCAAAACAGAGAGCTGCTTGGTGGGGTGCGTACACGACACGGCGAGCAGCAAACCACGACCGCGGCCGCCGTTTTCTACCAACTCACTCGAACGCTGTTTTAAATCGAAAAACATCGCGCGCGCCAATTCCTAAGTTGTCGTGGTTATGTTTTGCGTGTAGATCAGAAACACCACACTGGGAATAATCCCGGACACATTAGACTGGGATGAGCTCGTCAACAGCAAAGTTTCCGCCGAAGAGCCGTCTAAGAATTTGGATGACATTACGACGCTACTATACTTCTGTGCCACTATGTGGCACGAGACGGCGAACGAAATGAAAGGGCTGATGAAATCCATATTTCGGTAAGTGTTCGACATGTTATGGATTAATTCGCGAAAATGTTGCGAATCAATAAAATTAAGAGAAATAAATGTAAATAAAAAATCTGCATTCAATATGTGATTTGTTTTCATATATGTTTTTTACTATACATAAGTATATATATATATAATCATAAATATATATATATATATATTTATTTATTTATTTGTTTATCAATTTATAAATATAAATATAAATATATATATATATATATATATATATATATAGTTGTGGCCATAGATTTATATCGTCAAACTTACCAAAATCCACTGTTCTGTTCTGTTATAAATTTTAGTATTATTTAGTTGCGTTACGCTAATTCGTGCTCTATGCCAATATATGTTTTGTGTTAACCCACGTTGTGTTGAATTCGATTCATCGTTATTCAACACTATGTTAGCATAAACCATGAAATGTAAGTAAACGTAAGCGTGAATGTAAAGCAGCCCTGAGCCATCCCGGTATAAGCTGTGTACTAACGAATAGTAATGTCGGCGCTGTGTCATCGCCTATCAGCTGCGATCAAGACCAGAGTGCTCGGCGACTGGCCCGCACCTACTTCGACCGGAAAGACGACGACTATTACGAATTCGAGGCGCACGTGTTTTTTGACGACGCCATGGAGACGGTCGGTGGTCAGCGTCTGCTCAACGAATTCGTGCGACAATTCATCTCGACGGTGGGCGAGGCGGCAAGGTAACGCGCACGCAGACCCGAAGTAACATGTGCTGCCATCTACTAGCGATTATCCATAGCAAATGGAATATATTATCTACTATCGTTTACTGCCACCTATTAGTATTCATAACCATTTACTGACATGGTATGACAACTTCTGGTGTTCACAGCAGTTTACAGAGTACTATTTATGGATGTCGTCTTTATGTAAAATGACACTGCATTCTGCTACTATGTAGTGACATCAACTGGCGATGTTTTGCTATACAGGTCAGTGACTGGAGCCGCATACGAACCAACCTACCAGAAGATAGCGACACCTTACGGCGGCCGTCTGCAGTGGGAACTGCCAGGCGGAAACCAGCTAATAGTGCATCTTAAAGATCAAAACCTTATTCGTAAGAAAAAGCGCTGGAGTCAGGTAAAGCACACTGGTGTCTCTCCCTGTCTCTCGCCCCCTCCTCTCTCTCTCTTTCTCCGTCACAGTCTCTGTCAGCGTCTCCGTCACCGTCTCCGTCAGCGTCTTCGTAACCGTCTCCGTCACTGTCTCCATCAGCGGCTCCGTCACCGTCTCCGTCTATGTGTCCGTCTATGTGTCCGTCTCTGTCACCGTCTCCGTCACCGTCTCCGTCACCGTCTCCGTCACTGTCTCCGTCACTGTCTCCGTCACCGTCTCCGTCTATGTGTCCGTCTATGTGTCCGTCTCTGTCACAGTCTCCGTCACCGTCGCCGTTACCGTCACCGTCACCGTCACCGTCACCGTCTCCGTCTATGTGTCCGTCTATGTGTCCGTCTCTGTCTCTGTCACAGTCTCCGTCACCGTCACCGTCACCGTCACCGTCTACGTCTCCGTCCCCGTTTCCGTCGCCGTCACTGTCACCGCCTCCGTCTCCGTCTCTGTGTCCGTCACCGTCACCGTCCCCGTCTACGTCCCCGTCACTGTCACCGACTCCGTCACCGTCCCCGTCTACGTCCCCGTCTCTGTGTCCGTCTCTGTGTCCGTCTCTGTCACAGTCTCCGTCTACGTCCCCGTCTACGTCCCCGTCACTGTCACCGTCACCGTCTATGTCCCCGTCACTGTCACCGACTCCGTCACCATCGCCGTCACTGTCACCGACTTCGTCACCATCGCCGCCGCCGATGCCGTTGCCGTCGTCTACTCCGTCTCTCTCTTTCTTCCCCTGTCTTCATGCCTGTCTCGCTCTCACTTGGTAGTTTTATCTATTTGCCATCCTTTCTTTCGCTATCTATTTCTCGTACATTTCATCTTTCCAACCCTTTTTCTCTCCTCTATCCCCGTCTTGTTCTCCCCATTTCTCTCTCTCGCTTCCTCTCTCTCTCTCTCTCTCTCTCTCTCTCTCTCTCTCTCTCTCTCGCTCTCTCTCTCTCGCTCTTTCTCAATCTCTCCCCTCCCCCCCTTCCCTCTCACCTCTCTCTCTAGATATACCCTTTTGTATCTTTTGTATGTATATTAATATATACATGTGTATATATTTATTTATATAGATATGTGTAGTATGTCATGTTATGTAAACTCGGTGTAACGTAGACGAACGTCTGCTGACTTGGCGCGCGCAGGTTATGTACCTGTACTACCTGCTCGGATGGAAGCTTCTCGACCAGCTAGATGGCAGCACTGCGGTAAAGCAGGCGGCCGCCGACAACACCTACCTGCTGCTGCTTGATGGCGACGTCAGCTTCAAGCCGGCGGCCTTGCTCATGCTCATTGACCTCATGAAGAAGAACATTAACGTGGGCGCCGCGTGCGGCCGCGTGCACCCCGTCGGCAGAGGTGAGAGCGCGTCCTGGTGTTGCTGCGGCCACAGGCACTTGGAGCGTTTCAATAAAATATAATGCTAAATAAATACGAAATCTATTTACTACCAAAGTCTTAATGTTTCTCTACTCTCTTTCGCCTATTATTGCCGACAATTTCCGGTAAATGCCGTGCAAATGCTCCTCTGCAACACACATGTACACCGCATGCACGGTGCCGCACATTAACACATAAATATGACACATAAAATAAATAACATAACTATATATTTATGTGTCAGTGTGCGGCAGCGTGCATGCGGTGTACATGTGTGTTGCAGAGGAGCATTTGCACGGCATTTACAGGAAATTGTCTGTATTTATTTAGCATTATATTTTATTGAAACGCTCCAAGTGCCTGTGCGTTAAACGACTGCGGACGATACGCAGTGCGCTCAGCTATTATTACAATCATGAGCTGCCTAACGAAGCTAAAACTAGTAAGTGATATCGGAAAGTCCGGCTTTGTTATTTAGGTTATTTAGGTTATTTAGGTTATTTAGGTTATTTAGGTGATAGAAAAAAAGGTATAAATTGGCCGCGCCGCTCTACGGGAAGTACATGATTAATAACATGATTAAAAACACATTCGTGCGTTTTTAGTTTTTGCATTAACACAAACATTGCAAAATATCCCAAATGACCACAATCATATGTGTAAATGTTTCTGTAAACAGAAACGCACTTGTGAATTGAAGTACGATGTTAGTGAAGAGAATTATAGATCAAAATCCTAGACTAGTACTATCGTAACTTTGTTATATATAGCCTATAGGCAACTTATCATCCCTCTTATCTGATCTCAATATGGCGGCGGGGACTTTCCGATATGGCTTATAGGCAGGACTGCCTGCTGCGCCCCGCAATCTGCGCATTCTCTTTTGGAATGTGCAGGGAAGTCCTGTAGATAAGGAAATTCTGTCTACAAGTTAGCATTATTTATTTTACTTTCTCTAATTGATAATGCCTTTCTAACATATTCTAGTGCTGGTTTTAGTATTTTCGGGTCATCACTTTGCCACTCATCTACTAGTTTGAAGAAGGAGATACAGGGAATGCAGGTGCTTTATATGCTGCGCTCAATCCGATCTTCTTACTGCTTATAATGCGCTCACACTCGGTTCGTGAGTGAGCGGTCCTTACACATATTACGAATAGCTAAATATACCAATAGCTAAATAGCTAAATAAGATGTCTATAATAGATAAACATCACATGTATGTCTTCATTGTTATTTCTCCGTCCGTCACAGGTCCCATGTTGTGGTACCAACGGTTCGAGTACGCCATCGGGCATTGGCTGCAGAAATCCACCGAGCACATGATTGGCTGCGTGCTGTGTAGTCCCGGATGTTTCTCGTTGTTTCGCGGCAGCTCCATCATGACGAGGGAGATCATTGGTCGTTACAACAATAAGGCGCAGACGGCTGCTGAGTGGATACAGTACAACCAGGGAGAGGACAGGCGAGTCACACTCATATTATGGCTAACCCTAACCCTAACCCTAACCCTGACTCTGACTCTGACTCTGACCCTAACCCTAACCCTGACCCTGACCCTAACCCTAACCCTAACCCTAACCCTAACCCTAACCCTAACCTAAATGACATTAAACCACAAACTAATATATGACCATGACCATAACCATATATATATATATATATATATGTATATTATTATGACCATTAATGACATTAAAGTTGGGAACACTCCTAATGGAGTATCACCCCATATTATTACGCATGGGGACATGTGAAGGTAGGCGTGTGTTAGCGGTGGGTAGGGCAATGAGCAGCGAAGGAGGCGAGACAAGAGTGGGGTATAGGTAGAAGCAGGGACAAGAACGGTGTTAGCGGAAAATCGTAGTATGGTGGTTGAGGGCATTACGGTTGATTGGTTTGAACATGGCGAATAACTTTGGCAAGTCCAGAAGAGTCCAAAGAAAAGAAAAGAAAGTCCAGAGAAGAGGTTCAAATACTTCCAAAGCATGCAACTCTTAAAATACACTCTCAAAGACGAAAACTGTTGCAAAGATGAAGTGCTGAACGCGGCATAAGTTACAGCTCTTTTACATTTGAATGAGTCTCAGCTAGGTTCATACCTGTACGTAAGGATCTCTCAATTCTAATTTATTAACGAGGTAAATATACTTCGTGAGTATCTCACTGGAATAGACCTCATATTTTCATAACCTGTTTCAAGCCGCGCTGCTATTGACAATAACCTGTTATCAATCGATCATCAATGATGAGACATGGGATCGAAACATTTCGGTGACATGGTTGGTTCTCCGATAGGTGGCTGTCCACCCTCTTGCTGCAGGCTGGGTTTCGGATTGAGTATTGCGCCGCGGCTGATGGCTACACTCAGGCTCCAGAGACGCTATCCGAGTTCTACAACCAGCGTCGACGCTGGATCCCGTCTACGCTGGCCAACATCATTGATCTGCTGCTGAGTAAGACCGAAGTATAACATATAGTCTGTCGCCTTTTGCGCGAGGGATCCAAGCGGAGATTAAAGAGCGTTAGATAATGCTGAAAAACGCTGGCGTTTATGACACAATTAAGATATGTGATGAGACCGGTGAAGTGTATAATATGTGAAACCAACCGTAATGAAGAGTATGTGTAACCAACCGTACACCGTACCTGAGCTTTCTAACAGTGCCCGAAATGATTTTGGCGTATCGATCTCCGTGTTAATGTCCCTTTTCGAAAATTCGTGTGAACATCATCCGCCCATCACGTAGCCTATACTCCTGTAATTTGTCGTACATGCATGTACAATTCGATTACGTTTCGGCATGGCATACAGTTGATTACTTTGGTGATGTGGACAAATAAAGGAACGTTAACATTAACTGAAGTGTGTTAATGCGATATTTCTTCATTTTAAAGGGAAGGAAAATATTAGAAATCATACGCGCAATATTTGTTCGAATTACTTCATGTATTTACTGCAATTATTGTCGTCGTGCGGTGTGAATATATATCTCGTCGTTGCAGACTCTCGCTCGATGGTCCGGAAGAATCCAACTATCTCGTGGCTGTACGTGCTCTATCAAGGACTGCTGCTATTCGCCACACTGGTCGGACCTGGCATCACATTCATTATGGTCGTTGGCGCTCTGACCGCCGCGCTACCAACCGTAGGCAGCCTTCTTCTAATATTATAATAATAATAATAATAATAATAATAATGTAATGATAATGATAATGAATAATAATGAATAATAAATGATAATAATGATAATAATGATAATAATGATAATAATGATAATAATGATAATAATGATAATAATGATAATAATGATAATAATGATAATAATGATAATAATGATAATAATGATTATTAGTGCATGACGTGATGAATCGCTGGCAATCTCATTGGATAACGCAGCAGGCATTAATGAAGAGATAGTGCCCGCCTGAGCGGGCACTATCGCTGCGCGACGCATTGTTATTATAACGCATTGGTGTTTACGTCACGAATCTCCTGCGTCTGGGCGCCACGCAAGATTTGGAATTAATGGCGATTGTGTTTGTTGTCGAGCGTTTTGTTACATCGAATGCACCGGCAAATTAGGGAGTATAAAGAAGGTATATACGCATGAAAGTAGATTGCATAGTCATGTGATGCACTAAAAACATTAATGCCTGCTGTTGGGGGCACTATGCTCTCATAGTGTTTGCTTTGGGAAGGATAGTGCCTCGCTACCGCTCGGCACTATCTTCCCTCAGCAACACTATGAGAGCATAGTGCCCCCAACAGCAGGCATTAATATATAATTATTATTATTATTATTATTATTATTATTAACAAACTAATTTTGTCTAAAATTCGATAACGTTGCCGAATTCAGCTCTGGCTACGGGCAACGCATTCTTTGCGCTTACGTAATAACAATGATCATGATCTAGATCTGGTGAACTTATCTACTCTAAGCTATCCTGAAATCTTTTCATAAAATAGCCTGTGCACAAGCAGTAATGTGTTTTTTAAATCTACGTGAGCGAGCGCGTGCGTGCGTGCGTGCGTGCGTGTGAGTGCGGTCGAGCGTGCGTGTGTACGTCGTGCGTGTGTGTATGTGTGCGTGCGTACGAAAGTGCGTGCGTAAAAAGTGCGCAAGTGCGCAAGTGCGCACGTACTTATGTGCGTAACCTTGTGCGTATGCGCATGCCTGCCTTTGTGCCTGCATTGTGGGTGAGCGTGCGTATAACGAGCAAGCGATAAGCCTGTTGGCAGAGCGCAGCGACGTCGATGAGGCAGTGCATGTGGTGGCTTCATTCGTCAATCTCACACCGTAGTCATCTTCATGTTTACATGTATTCTACGGATCCCGCGAAACAGCAGGTACGCGTGCTCATCCTGCAGTCTTTTGTCGCCAAGCAATTCTGCCGCCCTTAGAGAGGTATTATGGAGCCAATAAAGCTATACGTCCGATAAACGTACGTAATGTCTACGAGGATGATTTATTGCAAATTCTAACATTTCGAAGTTATCCCAACCAACTATCAAAAATTATATAGGAACGATGAAAGTTGTAGTACGGCGAATTTATGTTACTCGACTGTATTGATTTATTTATATATTAATTATTTAATCCATGCTCGGCATGCCATGCATGCATCCAATGCATCCATCCATGCCATCGCATGCCATTCCATGCCATCCATTCATTCATCCATCCATCCATCCATCGCATCCATTCATGTCATCCATCCATCCATCCATGCATCCATCCATCCATGCATCCATCCATCCATCCATTCATCCATCCATCCATCCATCCATCCATGCATTCATGCATTCATCCATCCATGCATCTATCCATCCATGCATCCATTGCCATCCATGCATCCATCCATCCGATGGCATCCATGCATCCATGCAATCCATGCATCCATGCATCCATGCATCCATCCATCCATGCACATGCATCCATGCATCCATCGCATCCATGCATCCATCCATCCATGCATCCATCCATTCATGCATCCATCCATTCATCTGCATCCATCCATGGCATCCATCCATGCATCCATCCATGCATCATTCCATGCATGCCAGTGCCATGCAGCATCCATCCATGCAATCGCGCATCCATGCATGCATCCATGCATCATCCATGTACCATAAGCCATCATGCATCATGCATCCATGCATCCATGCATGCCATGGCATCCATCGCCATCCATCCATCCTGCATCCATGCATCCATGCATGCCATAGCATCCATAGCATCCATGCATCCATGCATCCGTCCATGCATTCATCCATGCATCCATCCATGCATGCATCCATCCATGCATCCATGCATCCGTCCATGCATTCGTCCATGCATCCATGCATCCGTGCATCCATCCATTCATCCATGCATCCGTCTATTGATACAGGTGAAGCTGGCCAGCCTGCTGACGGCGCTGTTTGCTATTGCGATGATGGTCGTACTGGTCGGCACCATCGTACAAGTCGTGCAAACGAGCCTCTTCGGACCCAACGGCATCTTTCTCATGATCGTTCTCGGATCGTTCCTACTCGCCGCGCTTCTGCATCCACTCGAATTCTTCAGCATCATTCATCTGGTACGATAGCCGCA